ATAAGTAAAATAAAGATATTGTGTCCATCTACAACTAAAAAAATGCTTCTATAGAAAATTAGATGATTTCAACTTATTAAACTAGTGATATTAGAAGAAAATTTAATGGTCATCCTGAAAGTGGATAGCATTTGTATAATAAATATCAGACTTGTTAAAAATCTCCACTAAGACTAAGACAAGATTGAAAATGAGGCCAAGTTGCAATCCGTCATTGAAAAATACAATGGCTAAACATTGGGTTGAATTTTGAAAATTGAATATTCTTGAGAATTTATAGTAATAACATATTAGAAGTTTGACTATTAAGACTCAACAGTGAATGTAACAACAGCAGAGACGTGGGTAACTAAACCAATCATGGCAAGGTAATTTCTCTCATTACCAATATCATTGTCTAATATAAGAATTAAACTAAAAGGGTTTGGTCAGAATGTTAAACTGTAATGTTAAACTCTCACATATATGCATTTACTCTGATTATAGGACAACCCTTATTTTGGTGCCTAAAATTAGGCTAAACACAATGTATAATATGGTTTGTGTAGACAGTTAAATCTAAAAGAATAAATCATAGTGTTTACAAGCCAGCAAATCTATGATTCATTATTATCTAAGAGTAATCCAGAGAACAAATGTGCCATGTGACTATATACATATACCAGTAGAAGTCAAAGCAATGGCTCATCTCTGAGCTAAATTACTAAAAAAAAAAAAAAAAAAAAAAAAAAAATTAGAAACATAGAAACATCAGCTATTTTTTTCTGTTAGAACTTTACTAGTCACTTTGTACATATTTATCAGTTTCTATCTGTTCAACACTATCTTAGAGTTGACAAGAGAAACAGGAATACTATCTTAATATATCTACCATCTATATTCATGATTATAAAATAATCCAGGATGAACTAAATTTTTCTATCAGTGTGATGCTTTTTGTGTGCTGCTGGGGACTAAACACAGGAGTTTTTCTGCCTCTGCTACTTTTCCAATCCTTTTTAAAATCTTATTTGAAATAAGGTCTTATAAGGCCCTCGAACTTGAGATCCTCCTGCTTCAACCAGCAGAGTAGCTGGGTTTATGGGCATACATCACCATGGCCATACGACATTAATTAACTTTATTGAAATTTGGGATTCACAAAACTTGATTAATTAATGTAATAATATTGATAAAATATTTTTTAAAGAGAGAGTGAGAGAGAGAGAGAGAGAGAGAGAATTTTTTTTAATATTTATTTTTTTTTTAGTTTTCGGCAGACACAACATCTTTGTTGGTATGTGGTGCTGAGGATCAAACCCGGGCTGCACGCATGCCAGGCGAGCGCGCTACCGCTTGAGCCACATCCCCAGCCCAATATTGATAAAATATTAATAGTAAAAGTGATAACTGATGTTTATTCCCAGTTTATACTGCCAGACATATTATAATCATTTAACTTTGGTTATGATTACCACTTTCCATGCACAGTGATAAAGAACTACTTTCATCATTTTGTAATAATCATCACACAAATTAGATACTATTGATAACATGAATTCAGCAATATGTGTTGCGTATATGAATACACAAATGAATAAGCAAGTTTTAAAAACTGAGGCTAGAAAATTTAACTAACAAAACTAAGTTTATATTATGGAAAGATTTGAAATTTAGGCTGAACTTTAAAATATGGGCAGATTTTGGACAGAAGAAGAACATGTGAAGTATGGAGAAAAGCAAGAGTAAGATAAGCAGAATGAGCCTGAATGTTTATGAGTAAGAGACCAAAAAAAAAAAAAAAAAAAAACATCTAAGTAGGTCAGGGAGGTGGACAGTGAAGAATTAGGGAGAGCATTTTAGTACAGGATGGGATGGTACATTTCCTTGATGTATGGGAAGAAGAGTTTGGACTATAAGCAGAGTGACATGAGGAAAGTATTGTTTAAGAAAGGTGTAGACTGGCAGCATTAGGCACTATGGATTTGGCAAAAAGAATCTAACATTTAGTATAAGAAGTATTTGCAGCAGACTAATAGAAACTTGCAGAAAGCTAAACAGAATTATGAGGTCCTGGATTTTGATAATTGTTGCAAAGGAAATTAAAAAAAGATAATATAACAATTTTTGAAAAGGGGGCTGAGAGTTTAGCTCAGTGGTAGAGTGCTTGCCTAGCACGCACAGAGCCCTGGGTCTGATCTCCTGCACATACACCCCACACACACCACAACTATAAAAGAAAAAATGAAAATAGGTGGAAATGAAAAAATAAAGCAATAAAGGCCAGYGTTTAATGGGAAAATATATCAAATGATGGTTTCCTTAAAAGAAAAATATATATGGAATATGTTGAATTTTCAAAAAGAAAGATAGACTAGATTTAAATAGAGACCAGTTGAAGGAAAGAGGAAAAAATGCACATGGAAAATAAAATGTTAATATTACCTCCAAATGGAGATGTTTTATGCATAGGTAAAAATAGATTGAAGCAGGATACAAATACAAAATCAGACTTATCCATATAGATTTTTAAGTTGTGGTATTTGAAAAAGGCACTGGAGACAAATAAGAAGCAGACTTGATGGAGGAAAGAACTAGTTCAAGTTGATTGTGAAAGTGAACTTGAATAAATCACTTAACATCTCTGAAATTCAAGTATGCTGTGTTTTAAATGAGGAAGAGATTTACTTCACTCTGTGTGTGTGTGTGTGTGTGTGTGTGTACAGAGTGAAAGTACCTTAAAAACTGTAATCAAATAGATTTCAAATGCTGTGTTATGGCTAAAGTCACTATAACTGAAGGGTAGACATTTTAAGCCATGTATTTCCTGAGGGATTCAGAGTTGAATCTTCTCTTGATTGAAGATCCATATCTTGCTGTGCCTACAGAATAGATGATTCATTACTCTGCAAATAGACATTAAAAGGTCAGTTGATGAGCCTGCTTCTGAAACAGCAAAAATAATGCCAATGCCTTTCTAGATTCTGGAAAATTGTTTGAATAATCATCTTTGGTGTTTGCTTAATTGAAGAAATTTACTTTAAACCAGCAAATAAGGGAATAAACCAGACAAATTTCTAGTTCCAAAGTTCACGTTCTTACATCATATTTATATGAGTAAAGGCACATCTTCTTTAAGTATTGCTTGTAGTCATCCTATATTATTATAGTTTTAACCTTAAAATCGTATCCTACTAAATTATAAAGTAAAACATTTTGGTACACTGTTTAAGCAGGTATGATAATCTATTCTTGATTCTTTTTATACTTCTTAAAGTTACTAATTGCATTAAAATAAATATTTATACCTCCGGAAAAAACTGAAACAGAGCTGCCTGAATACAGTAACAAGTCAGGAGGAGTGCCTCTGTTTTGTGTCCTTAGACTATGTTTATAATGCCAATATTTTATATGAAGATATTAACTTGAGAAATATTTTAGGCATTTTGTATCTACTTTGGTTAAAAGAAACCTGTAAATTTAATATTTCTTAAGTATATTACAACTCAAATTAGAGCACATAATGAGATCACCTAATGTAAATTCAAAATAACTTGTAATTACATTTTCACTTTGCTAGTCCTCTTTTTTGATATGCTTACCAATGTTTGAGTCTTTCATTCTATACGTCACAGATGTCACATTTCCTCCATTAAAAAATACTTCAATAAGGAAATATTTCAATAATAAGGAAATTATCTCAATTTTCAACAATAAGCTTGAGCCTCCCCAGAACAATTCTTGATTTTTCTTTGTATCCCTAGCACCTTGGACAGGGCCAAGCACACATCATCTCTTAACATCTATTTTGAGACATGAAATGATTTTGTTATAATTCCATATTTGTCTCCTGTGTCACTGGGAATATTAACCTCTGGCGCTTGAACATGTTTTAATTTTGCTGTAATAATTACTTCTATGCAAGCTACTCCCAAATTGTTTTTATTTTATGGTTAAGGCAAAATATCCACTTGGAAAATAAAATCTTTTAAAGTTCATGTTAACATCAATAATTTCATTATTTCAAAAATTTTACCTGCACAACCACCATAAAAATTTAATAGAAATTTAATTTTGAAAGCTGCCTTTTCTCAAGTAGTGTCTTACTTTTTTTATTCTCATCTGCAAGTTCACAAAGGAATTTTTATAGGCAGGAGGGAGGTTCCCCTGTCTTCCCCCACAGACCATCCCCTCAAAAATAAATAATAAATAGATAAATAGTCACTTGGAGAGGAAAGAGGGAATTTTCTACTCCAGTTTTTAAAATATTGTCACTGTGTAACCSTATGAATAAACATACATTCTTAGTTCTCTTCTAAGCTGATATTCTATAACTACATTCTTCCTGACTCCTGTTACTGGTGTGCAGTACAATAAAGATCGTGGATCCCAGCGCTTGCTCCTTGTTTTCACCGAAGAAACTGGCATTCAATAAAGGAGACAGGCAAACGTATGCAGGGCGAGTTGGTCTGCAAACCATCTCTGTAAGCCGATATTTATTCGGCTTGTATTAAATCGGTGGTGGCTTCGCCAGAACCCTTTGTCTGGGACGTTGGGTCTGGCAACCATTATCTCTTCGCGGAAACGACAACCGAAGACTCCGCCCGGCCTGGGGGTGGGGAGGGAGCACCTCGTGGAGAGCTCGACTGAGAATTAAAGTGAGTGAACAAAGAGAACTCCCAGCAGCCGCCCGCCAGCGCCTCGCAGCTGCATCTGGAGACGCTAGTCACGCCCGGAAGGCTGTTCGAGTCCGCCTCCCTGGGAAAATAACTCAAATAAATAATTGATGGAGATTGATCGGACCCGAAACAAAGCTTTGCAGAAAACCAATGCATCCGATTTTAAGCGGTTTGGGAATCCTCTGCCAAGTACGGGATGTGAGAGTGGACCTACGACTTTGAGTGCGGCTGCAGATCTTCCATCTCGGGCGTGGCTCTGGCCTTTTTGTCTCCCTGTCTCCCTCCTCCCACTCTCACCCCGACCCCCTGTCCCCGTCTTCTCTTTCCTCTTGAAAGTAATCTCTCTTGCATTACTTCTATCCTGCCCTCCTTTGCAATCCCGCCTTCTCCCCTGCCCAGTCCGGTGAGGTCAGCTCATGAATACCACTGCACTTCCTGGGGAGCGTCTGGCACTGCTTGGTACCTCCAGCGTTCGCCTACTGAGAGCTGCAGCCTTAAGCCCTGCAGTCCACAGCCGAGAAGTAACCGACTCTGAGGGCAAGTGAGTCTTCTGGTTACCGCCATTGTTTGGAGAAATTCAGTGGGTGAGAAACTGGGAAGAGCGGGCCCAAAGTCTTGCTCAGCCAGAAGTCGCATATAATACAAAGAAGATGAATTTTCCTGGTCTCTGAAAGACACTGGAATAGACCCTGAGGTTTCCGGAATATTGTTGATTTGCTTCAACTTCTTCCAAACATCGTCTCTGCTGAGAAGTGAGCAGTTCCTCTGGATTTCTAAAGGGATGGGGATGAGAGATGGGGTGGGTCAGAGGGCAGGGAAAACTCCTTATTAAAAGTGTTATTAATGTGGGCCGTGTCAGGTGACTTGGGTGGCAATTTTCACAGGGGAAGACTTGAAGAGATGCAGCATTTTGTCACTTTATGGGAGTCAAATGACAGCAGTCAGGTGCCTTTTATTGTGGAGCCCAGCTATTGGAACCAGAAGCTTTCTTCTGGATTAAAGCTGTCTGGGGGCCAAGTGTAAGCTTTTCTGATGGCTTCTCAGCTCAAGAGTGGTTCTGCTAATTTAAAACAAAAATAAGTTTGCATTGGCAATATAACTTTGTTGGTGGCCCACGTTAGGCTGACCCATGATGATTAAGTAGACAAAATATTCTAATAGCATTGTGGCTCCAGCAGAAGATATAGAAAGTTGATGAACACCCTGTCCCCACCACCAGTCATCTTTGTTTGCCTTTATATTCCAAAGTGAGTTAGAAGGAGCTGCCTGAAACAGAAAGAGAGGTAGAGAAGATAGCTTTCAGTAATGTTTTGTTTTATTTTATTTTTTATAAAATGGATGATTACTACATGCTAAGTTGTAATACTTAAAATAGACAATAACAGGAATAATTCAAGGAAAATGAGTGGCAGGTAATCTTCTCATGTAAGAGGAGTAGTTTTGTTTTGTTTTTCAAGAAGAGCTTTATGCCTAGTAATGCCCTTTCAGTGCTCTAGAGAGAAATGACATTTCCAAGGAAAAAGCACCAAACTGATTAGTGGACTAGCTAACTGTCTCATTAGGGAAAACCCATGAGGCAGTAACTTGCTTGATGTTTTCCAGATTTCAGAAGGCAATGATGGATGTATCTTAGAAAGATACACTATAGAAATTGATTTTGGTATCATGAGGAAAAATGCAACAGCCTTCTGGGTGCTGGGTCATTCTGTCTTCGAATCTGGCTCTATAGGAGGGAGGGAATGGGCACTTTAAACGTACTTAAAACTTAGCCTGTTATATACCATCTAAGAAGATCCTTAAGAATGAAAGTAGTTTCTATCTTGCAATTATTCCTATCTTGCAACTAAAATGATTCATAAGAACCACAAAACTGGTAAGCATACGAAAATTCATTACCTGAAACTTAAGAAACTGCAGACCTGAAAATMAACTTTTCCAAAAGTATTTTTTAAGATAAAAATAATCCCTTTGGGGTTATAAATCATTAAACCATATATTTCCTAACACCACTATTTTCTTGAAACAGAGGGTTAGTCATTCATTATTTATATTTTTACATTTCTATTACTGTAAAGACAATATTGGGACTTGGTGCTGCCTAAGAAAAGTGTCATTAATCCATTTATAGCAAATTTTCTCCAGTAGTCTACATCATAATCTTTTTCCTCTAATTGATACTTAGGAATACTAATTCAATGAAACCTTTTCCACTAAGCCAGGGTGTAGATTCAATGGTGAAGAAGCCAAAGTTGCAAAAGCAGAGGTTTGACAACTCTGAAGCCTCTTTCTACGGTATCCTGATCCCATTGATTCCTTTTTGACTCCATAGGTTATCCTTTCCAAAATCTGATACCTTGAAAGTGCTGTCATTTTACTGACAGACTGAGATGGAGACAGCGCCACCTTGGGCAAAATGAGAATTGACAAGTCTACGTCCTATTTCTAAAGTCAATGCTTCTATTAAGTGTCTTCCAAAGCTCATAATTTTCTGGGGCTTCTCCTGTATAGCAAAACCACCCTTTGCTCTGTAACAATGCAGACATGTTGTATGTTGCTCCTCTTTTGTTTCTGTCCCAGTTTAGAAGGGAAGGTTGGTGGCGGTAAGCGGGGAGGCTGATCTAGGGATGGACGATTCCAAATTTCTTCCGGTAGGGTCTTCCTAAATCGCCATGAGTCAGCCACCGACCGGGGGCGCTGCCCCTGCCGCAACCGCAGCTTCTGCCGCCGCCGCAGCCACCGAGGCTCGTCTGCACCCGGAGGGCAGCAGCAGAAAGCAGCAGCGAGCTCAGTCACCAGCTAGACCAAGGGAAAATTCTCTCCGACAGACAGCCGGGGCCAACCGGTCCGCTGTGGGGGCCGGCACCAAACTCAATTCTGTTCGGCAGCAGCAGCTGCAGCAGCAGCAGCAGCAGCAGGGTAACAAGGCTACCAGCCGCGCAGCATCTCAGGCCTGTGCCCGAGGAGGCGGAGGCGGGGCGGAGAAGGCGGCGCCCCTGGCGCCCAAAGGGGCTGCTCCGGGAGCTGTCCAGCCCGCGGCTGGTGCTGAAGCGGCCCCCTTGGCGACCCTGGCCGCTGTGGGCGGCAGGAGGCCAGGGCTGCCGGAGGAGCCATCCCGTGAGCTAGAATCCGTGCCCTCGAAAGTCGGGGAACCCCCTCCTCTCAGGGAAGGAGGAGGAGGGGACGGGGAAGGAGGAGGAGCCGGCGGAGGCTCCGGGGAAAGGGAGGGGGGCGCTCCGCAGCCGCCGCCGCCCAGGGGCTGGCGAGGGAAAGGCGTACGCGCTCAGCAGAGGGGAGGCAGCGGCGGGGAGGGGGCCTCCCCTTCGCCATCCACCTCTTCTGCGGGTAAAACCCCAGCCCCCAGCAGCAGAAACTCCGGAAGCGGCGTTGCGGGGGGCGGCAGCGGCAGTGGAGGGAGCTACTGGAAGGAAGGATGTCTGCAGTCTGAGCTCATCCAGTTCCACCTCAAGAAGGAGCGGGCGGCGGCAGCGGCCGCCGCGGCTCAGATGCATACTAAGAACGGCGGAGGCGGCAGCAGCAGCCGTAGCTCCCCAGTCGCTGGCGCCCCTGCCATCTGTGAGCCCCTCATCCTCCCTTCCACCTCCCCAATGGCGGCGGCAGCGGAGGGCCCCCAGCAGAGCGCAGAGAGCAGTGGTAGCGGCGGGGGCATGCAGGCGGCGGCGCCCCCTTCGTCGCAGCCGCACCCGCAGCAGCTCCAGGAACAGGAAGAAATGCAGGAGGAGATGGAGAAGCTGCGAGAAGAGAATGAGACTCTCAAGGTGAGGAGGATGGGGGAACCGAGTGGGGGAGGGGAAGCGTGGGCCTCGGAAGATTAGGGCGTGTCCCCGCKCAAGTGCGAGGCCGCTAACCTGTTAGGGAGCCTTAGAGAGGAAGCCGAGCAATAAATGAGGGGATTTCCTAGGCCGGGTCCAGATTCGAAACAGAACCTGATATAATCTGCGTTAGGTTTTTCACTTAAAATCAAATCTGGACCTTCATTTCTCTAATTATTATGGTCTGTCCCACTTTATGGAGCGAGCTAGAGTAAGAGAGCGAGAGAAGACCTTAAGTGAGCCCTTTTTAAAAAGTTTCTTCTTCATTCATCTCCTTGTCACTACTGCCTCTTGGAGGGGGGGGGGAGTTGAGAATTTGAAGCTAGGATGGGGTGTGTACGGTATATGTCGGAGGGGCTGGAGGAGAGGCTGATTTTGACCCGCGACCTGTCACCTCCTCAGAATGAGATCGATGAGCTGAGAACTGAGATGGACGAGATGAGGGACACTTTCTTCGAGGAGGATGCCTGTCAACTGCAGGAAATGCGCCACGAGTTGGAGAGAGCCAACAAAAACTGCCGGATCCTGCAGTACCGCCTCCGCAAAGCCGAGCGCAAGAGACTCCGCTACGCGCAGACTGGGGAGATCGATGGGGAGCTGTTGCGCAGCCTGGAGCAGGACCTCAAGGTCTGCAGCACGCGGCCTGGGGGTTCATGGCCGGCACCAGGGGCAGAGGGTGGGGACTTTGATTGAGGGCTCAGCGTCCTTTGATTATGACTAACAAAAGATTTAGGGACTCTGAGTGACTGGCTGAACACAAAAACTTAGGGTCCCAGAAGGGAAAGAACAAACAGGTGGGTCCAAAGATTTGAGTTCGATGTGGTTGAAAGAACACTATTGAGGAGATCGAGCTTGTTGGGGGGCTCTGCTGTTTTAACCATAGCTCTCTCAGAAGCGGTGGGAAGAGGCTACGTTCCTACTAGGCTGAAACATGGGCGTGGCACTGCTCAGACTGTGGCCTTGATTTAGAATCTGGTGTTTGTCTAGTTTCTTTTTCCAAGTTTCCACTCCTCACCTTCCAGGACTCCTTCCTTTCTGTCCTTACCTCTTAAGTAACTCCCTGAAAGGAAAACTGTCCAAATCGCATCCCATGTAAAAAAGGGAGAGTGAAGCATAAGAAAGTTGTTCCCTCAGAAACTCTCCCAGGGGAGAAATCCCAACCTTGAAATGCATTTTTTTTTTTTTTTTTAGACGGTTGTGGCCTCTTCTCTTGGGTTCAGTTGGACTATAGGAAGTTCATTGAGAATGCAAACCAGATATTAAATTTGTGAAGTCAGACAATCAAATATACTTTTAATTGTATTGACTTCACTGAAATATGAAAATATAATGTAATTACTATACATTTTTTAAAGAAAGCTATGAGTAAAATTTTATGAAAGTCATTGTTGTATTAAATTTTTTTTCTTTTTCTAAAATTTGTCAAATGCTCCATAGGTACCAGGCACTGTGGCAAGCATGATTGCATTCCTATTTCACATGGTTTTTAACAAAAAAAAAAAAAAAAAAAAACACCTCTGTAAGGTAGAGCTAATTAATGGAACCATCTTACAGATGCAGAGGCTGCACCTTTTACAGAAGTTAAATGCTTGGTTCTAGAACATGACTAGGAGGTATCAGGCTCACTCCCCACTTGGTTGCAGCCACAGCTGGTGTTCTAATCCTCTACACCAGACTATGCTACTTTTCTTTCAACCCCTAAAATATTCAAGATAATCTTGAAACTTTGGATTAAAAAATTCATAGTTATTAAAAAAAAACTAATGTCAGGGACTAAAATTTTCCCTAAATTTAAGTACATGGAATTCTAGTTATGAGATCAAAGTATAAACACATCCCCTACTTGTAGAAACTGCTTTTTTCCATTCTTTAATGTGGGCAATAATGGAAGCATCACCTGCTGGTTATGTTAGAGAACATATATGAAATTTTTTTCTACATGTGATTAAATACAGTAGAACATTTATTACCATGGTTGTGGTATATAAGTTAGGGAACAAATTCTACAGCCTGACTTACCAGCAACTTGTTAGCTGTGTGACCTTGAACATATTACTTCAACTCTCTAAGATTGTATCCTTAAAAAAGGAATAATAAGTTTCTTTATTTATAAAATAGGAATGAGAATAGTATTGATCTCATGGGATTGTTGTGAGGATTAAATGGTTGATAATGTGAATGGTTTATATATAAAGCATTTGGAATACTGGCTGGCACATGGTAACCACTGTATAGGTATTGGCTCCTGATACTTTCAATATGAATCAAATTTTTATTTTATTATTACAAACATTTTATTTTAGGTTGCAAAGGATGTATCTGTGAGACTTCACCATGAATTGGAAAATGTGGAAGAAAAGAGAACAACAACAGAAGACGAAAATGAGAAACTGAGGCAACAGCTTATAGAAGTTGAAATTGCAAAGCAAGCCTTACAGAATGAACTGGAAAAAATGAAAGAGGTTAGTATTTGATTATTTTATGATGTATGTCTATTTTTAGCTCTTTAGAAAAGAATTCCAAAGACCAATATGACTACAAAAAACACATGTATTTTTTAATGATCGTAAGACAGTTTGTTGTTCTTATCTGATGTACTAACAAGTACCTGATTTCATACCAACAACTGAGCACCAAAGAAAAAATTCTAGCTTGAGCTTGGCCTCTAACTTGACATAGTAAGAGTGGCAACTGATGTTTCATCCTTATGTTGTCTAAATGTTTGTTAATTAAATAAATTACACAGCAAACCATTTATAAAGGTGTCAAGAGTATCAAGGAATGAAGCTTATGTYAATTGAAGGCAACAGTTTTATGAGATAAGCACTGAGTTTATAGAAATGTAAACTTCTAGAATGGACAGGGATACAAAGGCCATTCAATTTGTACCAATCATTGATTGAACTTTCTCTGTAACAAGTCCCCCAACTCCTTGGTCTGATGCTTAGAGTATCACCAGTGACCAACCTGAATATCTTCCATACCAGCCAGTTCTGTCACACCATATCTCTGCTTAAAGGGTTTTTTTTTTTTTTTTAGACCTGAAATCATTTAATTCTAATTTAAACCAATTCATCTTAGTTCTACACTTTAGGGTAGAAGAGTCAAAGTTCTCTCTTCAGTGTTAACTATTTGAAGATTCCTACCTCATATTCCTTTAAAGAGCAGTATAGCAGTATAGATTTTGTTCTCAAAGAACAAAATAAATATCACAGAAAATAATTGGAGAAGAAACAGAAAATATCTAGCAATAAATAATTAGCTCCATGATATTTATTTAATTTGAATTAAAATAATGTTTTTTTAAAACTACCTGAGTATTTACACAAGTGCAACTTGTGAAAACTATTATGTAGAGAATTAAAATTATTTCAAAGAACTAGCAGAGGTACAAGTGACCTTCTGAACAGTTTCCTCTGCTTGGATATACAGAATTCTAAAGAAAATCCTGATTATTTCTGAGATACTGAGCCACCTATAATTTCTTTGCTTAACTCAGAATGGTACAAAATGTATTTGCCATGTAAAAAGGAAAATATTGATGGTCTGATTAAGTATATGAAAGTGTAAGGACTTGTTAGAATGTTGTTTTAGTGGAGTAAACCATTTTTTATGATCTTAGTGTATGTTTATATTATCCTGACATATTGACTTTAAACATCTTTTTAACACGAAAAAACGGGGAAAATCATTTTAATGATATGTGATCCTTGACTACTAGCTAGGAGTGGCTCTGTACTATAGTAGAATATTACAGAGACTGAGAGCCATCTTACCTATCTTCACCAGTAAGTAACTGGGTGACCTTAAAAGACCTCTAACTTCTACTTAACCTCTATTCATTCAATCGTAGACTATAAACGTTATTTTAGATGATCCTCTACATCTGCCACTGCATACTTTTATAATGAAATTTAGAACATTGCCATTTAAAGAGCAGTATAGATTTTTTCTATAAAGAAATCAAACATGAAATTAATAGAGATATGTGTTATTTTCAGCAGTAATGACAATTAAGAGTGTCAATAAAAGTTTCATTTCCAGGGATACAAAATGAAGTTGCTAGCTGTATTAGTTTGCTAGGATTGCTGTAATAAAGTATCAAAAACTAGGTGACTTAAATTACAATTTACTTCCTCCCAGGAGAGAACCCCTAAATAAAAGTTTCAGCATGGTGGTTCCTTATGAGGACTGTGAGAGAAAGCTCTGCTTCAGGACTGTCCCCTTGGCTTTTAGATGGCCTTTTTCATGTTCACGTAGTATTTTCCTATAGCTGTTTCTAAATTTCTCCTTATAAGAACACTAGTCATGCTAAATTAGAGCCCTACTAATGACTTTACTTTAACTTGATTAACTTACTTCTGCCAAGGACCTATCTTTAAAAGAGGCCCCAATCTGAGGTACTAGAAGTTAGTTCATTAATGTAAGACTTTGGAGAGAAGGATGGGACAAAAAGAACACTTTTCAACCCACAAGAGTAGCCATTTTATATCTTCCTGTGGACAAAGAAAAAAATCCACCATCAGTCTCGTTAGGCTCCTTTTCCTGTACATACATCACTTGAGTTCTCTCATTTTTTTATATAATTACAAACATTCGAGTAAAAGCAATCATCACTTGATTACCAGAGATAAAAGAGAAATACCTTGTAATTTGGGTTCATGTGACTCTTCTTCTAGTGGATATATATATTCAAAGTTATATTTAAGAATAGTATAACAATTTTCTAATTTTCATTTTGGAAGCTTTTCTGATTTTCTGGGAAGGATAAATTGTTCAGATATCATCCATCCATTAGAAAGATAGATGGAGACCTTGCCTGACTGAAAATAAAAACTAATAGTCCATCGTCCCCAAGGAAGGAAGGGCTGTAACCTGGGAATATCCTCAGGACAGTCATTGTGAAGATGCATTCCCTTGATTCTGTTCCTACACACTTCCCTGGGACTTTTTCTTCTTCAGAGCTCCAGTTCTGGGATGGGAAAATGATGTTGCAGTGCCAGTCAGTGTGGGCATGTATGTTGAAGCCAAAGAGACAATTTACATTCTCCTTGGAGTAGTAAAAGCTGAACTCCAATCCCTGATTAGCAAACACAACCATAAAACATAGGAAATTTAGGCATATTTGTTCAAGACATCAACTTTTAAAATTAAAAAAATGGCATTGGAAAATAGGCAGTGGTGGGGAAGAAAAATAGAAATAGAAAAGGACAGAGTGGCATATAAGGATTTAAGGAGTACTAAATTAATAACTGAAAAATATTCTGGCAGGAATGCTCCATAATCATTCATTTGAGGTATGCCTTCATAACACTAGGAAAGTATAAGAAATAGAAAAGGCATTTTAAAATGTTTATAAATCAGAAATGTTTTATCCAAATAAGATTTTTGTAGTGATAATTTTGTTATCCTCTAAGAAGGTAACTTTTAAAACTGAGATGCACTAGTAACTGGCTTACTTTGCAGAGTAGATATTATTAACTCTGTTTCCTTGTTTATAAAGTGAAAACATATTTGAATCTTTTTGAGTATTATCCACGTGTATGATAATCCCTTCATATCATTCTACCTGTGGAGAAAAACAAAACCAGGACAAGTTCAACATTATGAGGAAAAGATACTGGTTATAGAGTAAAGTCATAAAATGTTAAATAGAACATTCTAAAGAGAGGCAATCTTCTTATTCTAAGATTTTAGTTCCTAATATGGAGTCATATAGATGTCATCGAACAGCACCACTGGGACCAATAAACCATCTGCTAGAGTCTGGAACCATTTACTAAGGCTTTAACTAGATTCAAGGGTATTGACCAATTGCACTCAGGGCTAGTGGTTGCACCAGATCCTATGCACCTGCTCATATCCATCTGCTTATCTCTTGCCCCTGAAAGCATGGAGTAGACACATGGGAGCAAAAAGAACTGAGTAGAGGCAGGATGGAGGTAATTAGTTTAGTCTTCTGCTGTGTGTTGCTGGTTTTGAAACAGCTGATATACTGCCAACTGCAAACAAGAGGGACCTCTTAGAATGCTGCCTTAAAATCTTAATAGCATTCTAATTCTGATTATAAAACACAATTGCTATGAGCAGTATGAATTTTTGCTGGAGAAAAATATCTTTACTTCCTATAACTCAGGGAACATTATAGTCTGTTTTTCAGCATCACAAATGATCAGAGACAGAGGTTTCTGTAAAAGTTATTTTGTGAAAACAGCACCTAGCTCTATGACTGTCAGAGGGGTTTATGCACAAATTGGATAAAGTGAGGGTGTGGAGAAGGCTCCAGACAACACATTCTCTGGCTTGGGTGAATTTTTGCTTCATTAAGTCGAGGGTCACTGCCATTCATAATTCTGCTGCTGCAGGAGGAAAATGTGTTTTCAAAGCTTTGAAATGTCCTGTGCTCTTTAGGAGGGATTAGGTTCTTCTAATGTCACTTTTAAGGTCTGGCATTGAAGAAGTGGTATTGGAAGATTTTTGAGCAAAGAAATCACCAGCAGAGGACCAAAGAGAAGAGAGAGTGAGATGGTGAGAGGAACTGTTCATTAGATCTTTTTCATTTCAGTATCTCTATTCTTTGTGTTTTCTCATCCCTCACCATTGCATAAGAGTCTTAAAAGAAAATAATTTTCTTAACTTTCTCCAGTTTTTGCTGCAGAGGGCTATTCACTTGCCAACTGCAATAACATTGTCTATCTTGGGACTTTTATTTCCTGCACACTTGGTTAATATATCCTATCTATTACAATGCACTTTCATTCTGGCACACAAAAATAATTAGTGGTATAAATTTTAACAGTAGTCTCTCTTTTCTTTCTTTCTTATTTTTTTAATACATTGAGAATACGTCTATACACTCAGATTCTCTTTATACTTTAATAGACAAGTTCTTCCTCTACATGTTTATAGTTTTATGTATAYATATGTATATGATTTAAATTAAAGAATTGATTATAGCTATACCCGATTTTGATAGGGCTTATTAATCAAAGTTATAAAGTGAAACAAAAGAGAGAAATACTAAGTGATAACTCAATGAAGCAACTCAAGATATGATTTTAATGAGGAATTTCTTTGGCATACAAATATTTTCCCCTTGTTCTAGTAGTTTATTAAAGTTTGATAATGGAACAGTAATCACTGATTTTTTTAAATAAAATAACCATAGATATTTTAAATGCCTCAATTAAGCCATATTATTTTAGACATGTCTTGTAAAGCCAATAGATTGTTGAATAAGGTAGACAGGAATACTAGAGACTAAATTAACATACAGTGTGCCAGATAAACATTGAAAAGTTTGTCTTCCAGAAAGTGACCATGTGTTATGAGTGCATTTTAAAACATGAACATATTTAGTAATAATGAACTTTGTTGAATTTTCAAAATGAAATTGTATGTGCAGTTACTTGAATTCTAAACTAGTTTCCAAGATTCAGTGTTGGGTAAATGGCTCTTTTAC